GCTCTGTATTACGTCATTTTCATTAATTTATAAAATTATTTTCCTGACATGATAAATATCTGCGAGCGTACAAAAAATATTCACTAAGCATAGACTTGTCTGTTGTAGAGTCAAAGGGATGGATTAAGAAGATTGTATTGCGCCAGCTTGTTTAAAAATCGGAATTCGAAATCTTAGCTGATGTAATTGAATTTAAGGAATTCAGTAGAAAACGAAACATCCGTGTCTTGAGTGTGGAGATATTTACTTCGTGTTGTCTAGTCTTAGAAACAGAAGGGTAGGAAGAATACGCGGCCTCAGTTCTTAAATAATATTGTCTTACAAAAACAGTTAAAGATATTAGGGTATTGTAGTAAAAACAGAACTAGTGAATGAACTTATACCAAAGCTTTATTGCACGCTACTCTGACTACTCGTCTACTGACGGATTAAACAGTGTGCTTTTTGTACCTCCTAGATCTTAAAGGGAGGTAACTGATGATTTATCAGTACAGGTATATTACTTGTATTCGAATACTGTGACCAGTTTCCACCTTCATAGAAATGTAGCTATGTATTAAGATTTGCTAATCTGGTTCAAAATGCTTGTAGAGACGAGTTCTAACTATGGTACATATGGGAGAAGTGCCATTTAATTGATAGCACTTTTCTTTGTATATGAGATGTTCCTAGTAGGGCGATTTTCTGGGCAACTTGTATGTTGATGTTACATGAGACACTGTGACTAAAATTGTCCATTCCTTTTTCACGGGGCCCAAACCTTCGATTACAATTGGAACAGTCTCAGTCTTCATTCCCCATGTCCTGTTAATCCTTGTATTTGGACAATTTCTGGATAATTTTTATGGAGGTGTTTCTCGCAGACGGTACTGCTATGTCAATAAATCCTGAATTTCTTGCCTTTTATGATAATATCAATTTTGTTGGATTATTATTATTATTATTATTATTAGTTCAGACGTTAGTGGCTACCCGTATTTTAATGAGAAATTTAATTTAAACGGTGTGTATTACATATATCAGCCGGCACTCCGGAGAAAACTTAATAAAGAAAACAACGTCCCTCGCCTTTGCAGGAGAAACCATCATTTGATCCGGCTTCAAACGTTAGTGAAGTGGCCGACAGATGTAATTTAGAATAAAAACTGAAATCTATAAAATGTCGGATTAAAAATAAATCCATTATATATATATATATATATATATATATATATATATATATATATATATATATATATATATATATATATATATATATTAGCAATTTCTGATTAGTAAGGAGGATAGTAATCCAGGGAGAGCTCAATGTAAAACTACAGACCATAATAATAATAATCAAGGAATAAACCTTAGAATTTATTCCGTGAATATCACTATATATTCATCTCTTTAGACCAAAATTACTAAAAGAATTTCGATCTGAAGGGATGAATGTATTAATATTCACGAAAAAATTATAACCGAAATGAATCTTTAACGTTTGTTTCTTGATTGTATATATATATATATATATATATATATATATATATATATATATATATATATATATATATAAATGAGAGATAAGAACAGATGAAGTAAAAGTTCACCGTTCGTAGCATTAACTTTCAAAAAAGTGCTTAATACAATGTAGAGTAATATATTATTATTACATTTTTATTATAAGAGATTATAATAAAAACATTTTGAAATCTCCACATAAGCGCTTTCATGTATATATATATATATATATATATATATATATATATTATTATTATTATTATTATTATTATTATTATTGTTATTATTATTGTTATTATTATTTGTGTATGTTATATTTCCTGCTTTGTATCCGGTAGATCCGGGTTCAAACTGTGGTCCTTAGGCCCTATTGGAGAAATGTCATTAAAATGATAGCACTTTTCTTTGTGTATGGGATGTTCCTAGTAGGGGCGATCTCCTGGGCAACTTGTATGTTAATGTTACCTGGGATACTGTTAGTAAAATTGTTCATTCCTTTCCTCACGAGGCCCAGAGCTTCGATAACTATTGATACAGTCCCAGTCTTTATTCCCCACATCCTGTTAATCTTGATCTCCAGGTCCTTGTGTTTGGACAATTCCTCGATAAATTTTATGGAGGTTTTTTCTCGCAGATGGTACTGCTATGTCAATAAATCCTGAATCAATAAGCATATGCTTCCTGAATTTCTTGTCTTTCATGATAATATCAGGTCTGTTGGCTTTTATTTCCCTGTCAGTTTGAATTGGCATGTCCCAGGGGATAGTTACGTCGTTGTTTTGGGAAACTGTGTCTGGTTGGTGTTCATACCATCTCTCAGTAGTTTCAATTTTGTGCTTCTTGCATATCTTCCAGTGCACATATGTCGCTATCATGTTATTATTTAAATGTTTTAAACATTCTAATATTTTATTGAATTTTAACTACTTTGGCCTTATAGACTTACTTACGAAAATCCTTGTTGAAGAAACATTCCCAATAAATTTAAATTTACTATAGTTACCGTATATGTATTCTGATAATGTTGTGTATGTCCATTTACAAAAATCGTCACGTTTAGACACACGCAAAAGAATCTAAAATCTTTTTAAAATACTCGGGGTCGCTGAATTGCAGTAAGCATTTCCATTAATTATTAGTAAATATAGTTTTTACTTAATAACATTGATGAGTTTCATTAAAATCTGACAATAATTTGATTTTTGCAAGAATTTCCAAAGCGATGTTTTTCACCTCAAAAGACGCTAAAATTTTCTGTATTAATTTATCCCTCCGATTTGATACAATAAAAAAAGTGGATTAAACAATATAATTTAATAATAATAAAAATTCCTTTGATCTTTCCTTTTAATAATAACATAAAGTTTTTGACACTAAAACTTTGTTTTATTAAGTTTTGGAGATTTTTTTTTCATCATGGTATGCTCATATTTTACCGAATCATTGGAAGTTACTGTTATTATTATTATTATTGATATTGTTATTCCTCTTCTTCTTCTTCTTCTTCTAATTATTATTATTATTATTAGTAGTAGTAGTAGTAGTAGTAGTTCAAAAAGCCAAACGGATTATTTAAATATACAGTTATAATTATTGTTGTTGCTTTCTTTGGAGATGGGGATTGAACTTTGATTCAATTGACCCAATATTTCATCCGCGATCAAAAGGTAAATGAAATTTTTTTCGCTTAGAAATTTTTTGAAAGTGTTTTTCAAAACCCTCATAGCACATTGTTCTGGATTTCGAATAAAGGTATATTTCTTCAGATTTTCAACTGTGTATTTCACAGTCATTCTTAGATATTCGCCAACTATCATTTCGAATAATGATTGTGGCTAAAACTCTCTTTCCAAATCCTTATATTTGAAGAGTTTATTAAAATATTGTTATTGTTGCCGTTGTTGTTACTGTTGCTGTTGTTGATGATGATGATGACGATATTATTATTATTATTATTATTATTATTATTTCGCTGAAAACCAGAGTCTAAGCAAATGAAGTAGGTAGCATGTTTGTGCACTTTCGCGCACGCGCACGCACACACACACACACATAAATACACACAAACACATTTCAAAGAGGTTATTTTCGCATATGCTTCCGAAACTAAGAGAATTTGTACCAGAATAATTCAGATTTTCCTATATAAAATTTCAATGTCTTAATAGTTGATATTTCTTGCACGCTGAAAAGTTCTCAGCCTAAACAAGTGCCAGAAATCATTATTTAATCATTATTTAAATTTTGACACTGATTTTGATATATGGATCGGATCCAGACATATTCAGTCACACGCACACACACACACACACACACACACACACACACACACACACACACACATATATATATATATATATATATATATATATATTTAGTTATTTTCTAAGCGAAGCTTAGATGAGGCACACAAGGACGAAAGTATGGGACACCTAGCGAGGATCGAACTCACTGTCTAATCAGTTTCTTGCTGTTTAGATGAAAAATCATCAAGGAAGGAGCCATAGTATTGTTTAAGACTAGAACATTCGACCTTTTCTAAGATAATCTTCAGGGGTAAATTACAAAGAGAAATTCATTGTAACTGCGATGAAATCTGGATTCCGTTGTCATAGTGATTTTTAAAAACACACGCGGGCACGCTCAGCTACAGATATTTTAAAATTTTAAAATGTATCCATTGTAGTTATGGAATGTTTTTACAAAACAATAGAGCTGACCAGAAATTTATAGAAATGTAAAATAACATTAGTGTATAAAAACTTATATAGATTTTAATATGCTGTTGCTATATTCGTAATAAATTTTGTTGAGTGTCGGTTGGTTGATTTTGATATAGAAGGAGGCCTCAAGAATTTGAAGTTTTTTTTTATTATTTTCGTGGTGCAGTATATTGGTGTTGTCAACAACTATTTTCCTGTATTGTTAAGGTGAACTGGAATGTGATTTTAAATGTTGTACAGCAGAACTTGTATCCAACAAATGAAGACTAAGACGTTTTGATAATGTTGCGGTCGTCAAGCCAACATATATACTTCCTATTTTGCCATAGATACAATCTCCCAAAAGACATTTAAACTGATATACAATGTTGGTCTTTTTCGAAAGCACTAGTTGACAGTGAAGAGATATATACTGATATCTTGATCAGACATGTATAGGGGCATATCTATATCTATATATATATATATATATATATATATATATATATATATATATATATATATATATATATATATATATATATATGTGTGTGTGTGCAAACGTCGATTATAATTATACATCGATAGAAATGCTGAAGTCGCAAGGATGCTTAAATTTTTTTTCATTTCATTCCGTTTTTACCGTTTTTATTTTGTTTTTATAGCTGATGATTCAATGGAAACAATTTGTCTGAAGAATTCCTTTCAAAGAACAAAACATGACACGGAAGATTTATGCCATTTTGTCATTCAAATAACCACCAATAGACTGATATATTGAGTTTATATAATATATAC